CTTGACTTCTGCTTCTTTCGTAATTGGTAGGCTAACCACCTACCAGGTTTATTTGCATTACAAAAAGTATTATGTTTCATAAATCGCAAATTAGTTGCAATCTGATCAGACAATAACATATTGAATTGCTCCCTAAGCATAGTTATAGCTACCTTTAACTTATTATCCAGTGGATTTAAAATAAAAGCCTTCTCTTTTAGTTTAATCTCCTCTTCTAACTCTCTTCGTTTTTGCATCTGTTTGCGCCTATACGCACTATTCATATGAATCAGAGCACCTCTCATATATGCTTTACTAGCATCCCAAACCATTGAAATCGAGGTGCCCTTATGCACATTCAACAAAAAAATTCTTTCAGATAATCTCTACATTTCTGCAAATTCCCCTCATATCTGAATAAATTTTCATTTAATCTCCAAGTCCTTCTATTCCCATCTTCAGCAGATAATTCCACCCATACAGGACTATGATCTGACAATATTCTAGGAAAAATCTTGATATTCTTCACCCTAGAAAAGAAATCATTAGTAATTAAAAAAAAGTCAATTCTGGAATACGATTGATGTCTGTCCGAAAAAAAAAGTAAAGTCTCTTTCTTCCATATTCCGTTCTCGCAAGATATCTCTTAATTCCAAATCATCCTTCAAATCAAAAAAAGTTTTAGGTAAGATAGAATGATTAGAAGCTTTAAAGGAACCTTTCTTATCTTTACTTGAATCTAAAACACCATTCCAGTCTCCCATCATAATGACAGATTTATAATCCAGTTGATTTACTTTCTGATGTATCAACTTGTAAAACTGTTTTTGTTGTTGATTTGGAGCGTATAATCCAATAATAAGACATCTCCTTCCATTCAATAATAACTCGATAATAACATATCATCCTTCTAAGTCAGAATCAATTAACTTCGGCGATAACTCTTTAATAAATAACTATGCCTCCTTTTTTCTGCTGGGCAGAAGCTGTAAAATGCATTCCCAACCGGGAATTAATCAAATACTTTTGATCCTTTGAAGTAATATGAGTTTCTTGCAAACACACAACATCATTCTTATGTTGCTTCAAATAATGAAATATCTTCTTTCTTTTCTGTGGTGAATTCAAACCGTTAACATTCCATGTCAGGAACCTTGCCATTTTTAGTGGCTTGGAGCCTCTGGAACACTCCTTGAAGATCAGCTGTCACTGATCTCTTAGGTCTTGTACCTCTCACTGGCTCTGAAGTAATCTGATACGTTATAGGTACAACATCCATCTTTTGCTGCTCTTTTTCTTTACGTCTGTGAGCTGCACGGGTCATTCTTTGTCCCTTTGGATCATCTTTCATCTCAGAAAGTTGTTGCTTATCACCTTGTGAATCTCCTACACTTAATGGCATTGCTCCTTCAACCGCTTGTTCTTCAAACATTCTTCTTCTGCTAAATCGTGGAGATAGTGGTGAACCTGCCTTCAAAACCGAACTGTAAAAATCTCTTGCTNCTCTTGCTTTCAAAATTGTGTTAAGCCTATAACGTGTCCCCAAATAGCTCACCACAATTCCAACAGGTATATCCCATCTGAATTGAATTTGTCGTTTTTTCAGCTCTTCAGCCAAAAAAGCAAAGTCCTTTCTTTTCCTAAGTATCTTAGGAGGTATTTCCTTTAAAATTATAACATCTTGCGCTAGAATTTGGAATCTGTTTATAAAAGACTTGAATAACTTCATTACGAATTGATCTTCTGGAAAAGTAAATTACAACATCTCTTGGTAAGTTTCTTTGTTGTGCGACCCATGAATTTACCCTAAAGATTTTTTCTATCTCTCTCAAAATTTCTTCAGGTTCACATGACAAAACAGTAGCCAGGTCTGCTGCAATCTCTTCTTTCAAATTCTCTTGCGCGTTCTCCTTCAATCCCCTTATTCTCAAAGCATATTCCATGTCTCTATATTGTGACATAATAATTTCATTCTGAGTTATATCCACATTATCCTCTACTTTCCCAAGTCTGTCCTCTAATCTTTCAACATTTTCCACCACCTCGTCCACCTGTCCGTCTAAGCGTTCTACGTGAGCTGCTAAACCTTGAAAAGCTAACAGTATATCCTGTCTCATTTCATTGTTCTTCTCTTCAAAAAGCTCAGCTGTTTCTATTCTGATCTGTTTCGCTGTATTCATCAAAGCATCCTGCAAATCCTTAAGTGTAAGTGATGGCGGTGGGGGAGAAGGAGGGGGCGTCTTTGGCTTAGGTTGCTGTGAAGTTTGAACAACAGGAGAAGAGATCTGGCCTTTCGGAGGAGCAGAAATTCCAGTACGTTTTGAAGCCATCTCTTTTTTTTTTAAATATCTTGTATAATCTTGTAAAAGCAGTAGTTGCAAGATATATATAAAAAAAGGAAAAAGGAAGCTTGTAATTTACATATACTAGTAGATGTTACATTGTTTCCTTGTCTTCACTTAAACGTCAAGTAAAAGTGAAAGTCTCTTAAGTATCAGTTCAAACAAAAGAACGACATTCCGCGGCCATATTTTTTCTTCTTGTTGTAGTTTAAATAATAAATGAAGAAGATACTTATTTATCTTCTGAGTTAAAGTCCCAAATTAACCAAATTCCAATCCTCCTGATCAGCTCCGTCTGCTTTTAATTTTACTCACAGTCTCTTCAATTAGCAGATGTGGAAGCAGCGTCTGGCTTTGTTCCTAAGAACAAAGGCGGCCCGAGGTGCGGAGAAAACCCAGACTCCGAGGGAGTTCATACCTTCGTCTTCCAAAACAGAAATCTTTAGAGGACTAGGGAACTCAACCTCTATCCAGGAAAACCTCTCCTCCCCTTCTCCCGGGGAGAGAGGCTCCAAGCCGCGGAACAGCTGTTGAACGCCGTTCCTTCAGGCTTTAACGCATCCCCGGGGCGGACGGCTTAGAAAAAAGCTGCCATCGGCACGGCAGTCACCACCGGAAGTCCAGACATAGATTTGTTTAATGAATTTTTAGACCGAAATGCAAAGTCTTAGAAATTAAATGTCCCAGGATTTTTCTTTTCTTTTGTTTGAACAGCTATTGAAAATGCAACTGAGCAAAAGAAAAAAATAGGAACTAAAAAAAGAAGTAGGAGATTTACAAGCTGTATAAAACTGTATAAAACATTCAATTAGTACTACATAAAATATGATTTTATAACAATTTAATACTTTAAAATATTAAAACCAAATCAATATTTGGTAGTTAGCAAATGCAGCCCATGTGGTAAGAATCATCAATCAGAATAAATGGTTATCTAATCTCAGAATGTCCTTGTAATGAATCAGACAGAATCTAGTATTTGTTGACATTATTTCTAATCCTTTTTTTTATATGGGTTTCTACCATCAGGTAACAGCTCATTAAACATGAGTGGAGGCGAGACAACCATGAAGCTGGGGAGTCTCTTGGATGACCAACATTGGCACCAATTTCGCCTTGATCGCTATAGAAAATATATCAACTTCAGCTTGGATGGGGAGGTTCTGCAATTCCGGCTTAATGGGGAATTTGAGCAGCTTGACTTAGATACAGAGGTAATATGCTTTGGAAGAATTTGCACTGTGATAATGCTCATTTGGGATGTGAAATTTGAAACCAACTTAAATGATTCTTTCTAGTTTTCCATGATATCTGCTGGGAACTTTAATGACCTTTAACCCTACATTCTATGTTCTTCATTATGGCCACATGATCGATGTCCAGCTATAAAAAAAATCAGGAACCTAATTGGTTCCCAGCTGTCTTCTCCTTGTTTTCTGCAGATTTTCTTTGGAGGAGTTAGAAACTATGAAAAACAGCGTCTTGTTTATAGGCCAAACTTCCGTGGCTGTATGGAAAACATTGCCTACAACCTGGTTTATATTACTAAATTAGTAAGACGTCGGCATCCCTCCATCCGGGTTGAGGTAAGAATTAATATAGATTTGGTTTAGAATCTATGGCAGCCTTACTGACTTAGAAACCCTTCAGTTATCTGGACTTCAGTTTTCAGACTTCCTCAACCACTGTGAAAAGTTGAACTCCACACATCTGGACAATATGTTTGGGAAAAGCTGGTCAATGATGATGAAGATAAAAACTGGTTCTGTTGTACTTGAAGGCAGGTCCTTGACCTGTACTTGCTAATTTCTGTTGAGTCTGTGCATAAGTCGATGTTGCTTTTGTCCTGTAATTGATCCTGCTGCTGCCTGCCACCTGTTTTTCCATTCTGATTTCATTGTAAGTGAAAGGAAAACTCCAGTAAAATCTCCTCTAGGAAAACTGATGTTATGAAAGCAGTCCTGATGTTTCCACTTGGTAAGGAAGGGGAAACAAAATTGTGAGTTCAGATTGGCTTAAAAATGTATGTGAAGGAAATCAGCAAAATACCATGTTTTGGAGAAATTGGAATCATATTATTTTTCTGCAAAGTATTCTTACTCACTCTTTAATGAGTAAGAGTTCTAGAGCAGGGCTTTTCAACCTTTTCACCGACTGTACCACTTTTAGGATATGGCAATATTCGAGTACCACCTAGCAAGGTGTCAAAAACTTGATGACCCAAAAAAAACTGTTCAAGTTGCAATTGCACTGAAATGACTTATGACCATTTTTCACACTTATGACCATTGCAGCATGCCCAGGGTCATGTGATTTATATTTGGATGCTTGGCAACTGATTCATATTTATGATGGTCACAATGTCCCAGGGTCATGTGATCCCCTTTTGCAATCTTTTGACAAGCAAAGTCAATGGCAGGTCTGCTGGTGGCCAAGTGCTAAGGCGGGACTTCCTTCCCTTCCTCCCTCCCTGCCTCCCTCTTTCTCATTCCCATCTCCTTCTGAAGGAAGAATTTGAACCCCCCCTATTTTCCCTCTTCCATATATTCATCAAACAAGGAAAAGTCTCCAGAGACATAAAAGAGAAGTCATTGAGGGAACTAGTTTAAAAAGGCGCATTCCCCTTTAAGAATTAGCTACTGGCTAGAAAGGAAAGTTAAGGAGCGCAGCCAGCACTTAAGGAAGAAAAAAAATGTAAATAAATATTGGCTGCTGGCTAAGGCAGCCTCCCCAAATGGCTCCATTCATAAGTAAAGGAATGCTACAGGCAAAATCCATTCGGGAGAAAAATACTTCAAAATCTCTTGCAGCAAAACTTATAGCTAATAATAGCAGAGCAATAGAAGTTTACACGAGACATCAGCCTTCAGCCAAATAGAAATTGCCAAAAACTCTTAAGAACACAAAGCCCACATTGCACAAATCCCAGAACTTCAAAGTCACAAAAGCACATAAGAATCCTTCCATTCTCCATTTTCCTCCCTCCCTCCTCCGTGCCTCACCTCCAGCCGATGCTGTCTTTCTTCATTGCTGCCTTTTTTCATTCCTTGTGGACGGTGACCCCTCTCCCGTTGCGTTTCTTGCCTGTTTGCTGCTGCCAGCACAGGTGGCTGCCACAGCAGTTGTAGATCGGCTTATGGCTGGCCTACTTGATCTCCTTTCCTCTCCCCCTACCCTCCTCCTCCTCCTCCTTTCCCATCCATGTAGCTAGAGCTGACTCCGCCTCCTCCCAAGGCTGCTGCTTTTTTTCTCTCCCCCCTCTCCTGCCCAAACTGCTTCCTTTTATAGTCTCTCCTGTCTCCGTCCTCCTCCTCCTCCTTTCTTTTCCGGGTGAGCAGGAAGTGAGCCTGGGGCCTTTGCCTCGCCCCAGCCATTCTGCAGCTCCAGAGGACTCTCTCACAATAAGTCCTTACCTGTGCTGGCTCGTTCCCTCCCCCACTACACTTTGCTGGGCAGGGCTGCATACCACCTGCCACGTGCTAATGTACCACAGGTGGTATGCGTACCACCGGTTGAAAAGCCCTGTTCTAGAGTACCAAATGTAATCCTTTAAAGTGAAAGGACTTGTCTGCGGAGTTACAATCTAAAAGCTATTATATAAAATATAATAAAAAGAAAGAAAAAAGAAAAAAAGCAAATTCAGGCATCAATTCTTATAGTTAAATAGTAGTTTTTCTAACATTTACTAACCAACAGGATGATAAAGTGGTCTTACTTCCCAGGTTTGTTTGCTGTACCTTGATGGAATAGTTACTGCCAGATGACAAATTAAAAAAGAGTCTGATGGATCCAGTTACTGGCAGAAATATATGTGTTTTGCCTGCATTATTTGAGTTCTGCTGTGGATCTGTGCTAAACCTAAATGTTTTAAAAGACCTGAAATTGCTCCCCAACTCTGGGAAATTTTTCTTTGCCTTTTTACTAAGCTCCTCTATTTCCAAGGCTTTCCATGTTCTCAGCATGCAATAATAGTTCTATTGGATAAGTCCCTCTGTTTGAACATAAATGAAAGAGATTGTGATGTGCAGAATTGAATGCCTCATAACATTGCTCACCTATGGAGTAACCTTTTTACAGCCTGATGAGTTTGGCATGTGTAGAAGTGAGTATGTGTCTCTGTGGCCCCATACACTTTCACACTTGCTCACAATCTTCATTATCTCCCTCCCTCCCTCTTTCTTCCCAGCAACTGACTGTAAATTGATGAATTGCTGCTGCTATTAGCAAACCAGTTATCTAGTGAATGGGCAGGTGGGGACCAGACTGCTGCTTCTTTTGATATTAATTGCAGCAGCAACCAAACAGTCCAGTTCCTTTTGGTTAGAGGATCAGGATGATCCAGTTGGCTAGTGAGAAAAGCGGATGGGGCTCTTTGTCATTCCAAAGCCTATTCGACGGATATATTGGGAAGTATACATTCCGTGGTCAAGATTGCTGAATATTTCAATAGGCAGCTACCACTTAATGTTAAGCATGAACAAGAAAGTAAACAAGGGATTGAAAGCTTTTCTTCCAGAAGTCAATAAGACAGTAGTATCTTTTGTTTTAATGTCTTCTTTCTTAATGTAAATGAAAGATTCCTTACTAATTGTGCTGTGTGGAGTCTCTGGAATGTTTCTAGAGTTAGTTAAAAGGAGCCCAACAGAGCCATTTTTGGTGGCCAAGACAGCAGATTGTCCACCATACATAAGGCATATGGATATGGGAGCAAATGTATGTGGCCCTTCTATAATGGACTGTCCTCCCTTTGCTTTTGCCTTCCTCTGTGAATGCCACTGTGCTTTCTCTCTCTTGTTTCAGGGTCATGTGGGCTATTTCTGTCGGGACAACCTCTTGTTCCCCTTTACCTTTGCTGGGGTCAACAACTTCTTGCAGGTGGCTGCATATCCTCGGCGCACTATGCTGGCAGTCAGCTTCAGTTTCCGCACATGGGATGTTGTAGGGCTGCTTATGTACACATCCTTTGCTGATGACCTAGGATGGCTTGAGATGGTCCTGAGTGATGGACAAGTCAATGTCACAATTGCTCAGCCGAAAACCAAAACCAAAACCAAGAAGCTGGAATTTGCAGCAGGTAGGCAGTAAGGTAAAGATAATTAGGGTTGCAGTTAGTAAAAGGGCTCCAAGATAAGGCTCCAAAATATGTTACATAGTATATTCTTAATGTTGGAAAGGTGTTAGGTGCACTGTGGGAGAGCGGAAAAGGAAGCTGGTGGTGCTGGTTCCAGTTGGAGGTGGATTACAGCTTGTTTGATAGCTTCCTTCTTGCCTGAATACTCGAGAAATTAGGGATCTAAGGCAGATATTTTATTTTCTAGTTTAATAAGAAACTATAAATCTCCTTGGTGTGGGTAAGCTCCCTTGGTTGGGGAGATTCTCCAATTCACCCTCACAGTTGGATTTAGTGGAAGTATATGGCTAATGATCAGCAAAGCTTTAGTTGTAAAGTTGCCTTCTTGGTATTTATGCTAGCTTTCAGCAGAGGCTGTTAAGGATGCTGAAGTCTTGTCTCCTCTCCTGTCCAAAGATACTGGCTCGTCTCGGGTGTTCCCATGCTAATTTCATCTTCTCACAAATTGATGTCTGCTCCACAATTAATTTGTATATCAGAGATCATCATTAGTGAATAATATAAAATATTCACTAAATTGTATAACTGGATCAGAGATGGATTGTAGAATGAGTACTTTTTTGTGTAGGTGCATTATTTATTTAATTTATTAGGTTGCTAATTTCAGATACATGACTCTGGGTGGCTAACAATTAAAAACAGAATAAAACAACCCACAAAATAACATAAATAAATAACATAAATAATAGCTGAACAACTAATCTAAAACAATACTAACAATCATCTCATTTAATACAACTAAGAAATGGGCTAATTGGCTCATTCCATTAGGAACCAAAGTTTAAAATCAGTCTAAAATTTTATGGCATAGGGTAATATCTAAATCCAATCTCGGTGTTTGGTTTGATGAATCAGTGGTGTGAATCAGCGCAAAAGAGATTCTGCTGTTTCTATATATAAACAATATGAAAATAAATCCCTTGGCTCTTTGGGGTAATATGCCTTGCCTAGAGTTTGAACAAAATGTGACAACTTTGCAATTAGTAGCTCAACATCCTATATTGATTCCTTTTAAACAAAAGCAGTTTGAAGAGAGGAGTTTTTTGGCAACAAATTGTGGGTAATACTGTATTTGCTCATCAGGTCTATGTTACGGGTATTATGTTTACCTTACATGCAACTCTATCATTCTTTACATAAAATAAGGTATTGGTGCTGTAAACTCTAAGGCAGGGGTCCCAACCCCCAGGCGACGTGAAGGGATGGCCTAGGACACTTCCCCAGACTCGTGCTAGCGCCACTCCGCCCAGCGTCCCACTGGCACTAGCGCCACCCTGAGCATCTTGCCGGTGCTAGAGCCACCTGCCCCCGAGCATCCCACCAGCACTAGCGCCGCCTCTATTATCCCACCGGCGCTAGTGCCACTCGCCCCAAGCATCCCACTGATGCTAGTGTCGCCCCGAGCATCCTGCTGGCACTAGCGCTGCCCACCCCAAGCATTCCACCAGTGCTAATGCTGCCCCGAACATCTCTCCAAAACTAGCGCCACCCCGCCCCCGAGCTTCCCACCAGAGCTAGCACCACCCTGAGCATCCCGCCGATGCTAGCGCTGCTCCGCTCTCAAGCGTCCAATCGGTGCTATCATCTCCCTGAGCATCCCGCTAGTGCTAGTGCCACCCCACCCCTGAGCGTCCAACCAGAGGTAGCGCCTCCCTGAGCATCCCACTGGCGCTAGCGCCGCCCCGCCCCAAGCATCCCACCAGCGCTAGCGCCACCTATAGTGTCCCACCAGCACTAGCGCCACTCCATTTTCAGCACTCGTACCCATGCAGCCCCATTTACATGTGCACATGCGCTCATGTGTGACTGCGTGTGCACATGCGCTTGCATGCAGCTGTTTGCATGTGCGCATGCACTCACATGTGGCCCATTTGTGCGTGCATTCATGGGTCTCATTTTTGTGCATGTACGCAGCCCATTTGCGCGCGCGCATGTAGTGGAGCCTGCCTCCCTTTCCGGGCTGCCAAATCAAAAAGGTTGGAGACCTCTGCTCTAGGGGCAAAAAATGGTTAGTAAATCTCAGATTAAACAAGATAATCCAATCCTGCCAGCTGGACTCAGGTGTAACATGTGATGTCAGGGGTTTAAAGGACAAAATGAAACTGGCACCTGAGATACCTCTTCAGCCTAGTAGCACCAAACTGAACTTATATTCAGAGGAACTAAAGGAATCATTGGAACTTTTCCAAATGGAATGCAGCATACATGTGGGTTTCCACATACTTAAACCTGTGGAAGCCAATCAGAAACCACTATTGTCTGGGTCAACATGTGAGGGTTTGGGTTTGATGCAGTTCACCATTCTGGCTGAGTTACACAATGTTGAGATGCACCCTCAAAATCCTTGGCGAGGCCAATGACAAAACAGTAAATCCTCCAAGCCTACAATGAGGTGTTTGAGGGCCCCATAGTATCTGTTCCAGGAGAGGTTCACTTTGAACTTGACCCTGCCATTTCACCAGTACAATGTGCCACAGGTACCATTAAGCCACAGGTCAAAGTGCAACTGGACAAGTATGAAGCTGAAGGACATATTACTTCAGTATCTGAGCCTACCGATTGGATAAGCAACATGGTTGTTATTAGGAAGCCTGAGGAGATCAGAATCTGCATTGATCCCAAGTTTCTGAATATGGCCCTGAAACGGTCACACTACCTAATGCCAACACTTAATGACATTTTGCACAAACTACCCAAAGCACTGGTTTTCACGCTTGTTGATCCCAGAGATGCCTTTTTACAGTGCAAACTGGATGAAAAGAGTAGCTACATGACCACATTCTGGACTCCTTGGGGCAGAAAGAGATGGCTCAAACTATCCTTTGGAGCCTCTGTAGCATCAGAGGTGTATCAATAAAAGCAGCATGAATTATTAAGTGGGCTCAGTGGAGTTGAGCCAATAGTTGATGACACTCTCATAGTTGGCTGTGGTGATACAGATGAAGAAGCTGAGCACGGCCATGATGAGAAGCTAATAGCACTACTAGACTGTTGTAGGCAGGTGATGCTGAGGCTCAGTGCAAAGAAATTGTAGTTCAAGGTGCAAGATGTCCATTTCCATGGACATATCCTGTCTTCACAAGGCTTAAAAACTGACCCAGATAAGATTAGAGCCATTATGGACATGCCATCACTTGCCAATGCCAAATTGATGCAGAGATTTATCAGTTTTGTCACATACTTATCAAAATTCCTGCCACACCTGTCTGAGGTGTGTCAGTCATTGAGACGTCTTCTGGACAAAGATGCGATTTGGCACTGGCTTCCCAAGCATGACCAGGCAGTAAAAGAGATAAAACGCTTGGTCACCGCTCCCCCTGTGTTGAAATACTATGATGTCACAAAGCCTGTTACAATTCAGTGACTTAAGCAAAAATGGCTTAGGACAGGGGTGGGGACCCTGGCTCTTTTATGACTTGTGGACTTCAACTCCCAGAATTCTTGAGCCATCCTGAGCCCACCCTTGGCCTAGGATGTTGCCTCTTGCAAGAAGGTCAGCCAATTGCATATGCGTCCAGGGCTCTTTCATCTGCTGAGCTAAATCACGCTCAAATCGAAAAGGAATGTTTAAGTATTGTATTTATCTGACAGCATTTCCATCATTATCTTTATGGCCAGGATACAATCACAGCTGAAACTGATCATAAGCTGCTAATAGCCATATTCAAGAAGCCTCTTTTGTGTGTCCCCAAGTATTTGCAGAGCATGATGCTTACATTGCAGCATTACAACCTCAATGTTGTCTACAAGCCAGGACTTGAAAGATATCAGTGGTACCCAGAGCAGAGATGAGATCAGTGTACAAGACGGTATCTTGTACAAAAGTCCAAGAGTCATAGTGCCAAAGTCACTGAGAGCAGAGATGTTATTGCGCATACACTCAAGCCACATTGGGAGTGAGGCATGCTACAGACAAGCTCGTGATACTCTTTACTGGCCTAACATGCAAGGCAAAATCAAAGACTTTGTTAGCAATTGTCCCACTTGCAATGAATATGCACATTTGCAACAAAAAGAAACCTTGAGGTCACATGAGATACTCACATGTCCTTGGCAGATCGACAATACGGATTTGTTCAACTATGCAGGAAAATAGTATCTGATATTAGTTGATCACTATTTAGACTTTTGGGAAATTGAACTTCTTCCCGACTTCTCTGCTGAAACTACCATTAAGAGATGCAAGGCTCAGTTTGCACATCATGGCTAACCAGATAAAGTGATCTCTGATAATGGCCCTCAGTTCGCAAGCCTACAATTTAGGAAATTTGTCACTGAGTGGGAGTTTGAGCATGTGACCTCACCATGTCATCCACAAACTAATGGCAAAGCTGAATCAGCTGTGAAGATTGTTAAGTATTTATGCAAGAAAGCGCAAAGTGATGGTAAAGGCCCATGGAAGGCCATTCTATATTGGAGAAATACTCCAACTGAGGACATGGACAGTAGTCTGTCACAGAGACTGATGTCAAAGAGACTAAAGATCTCCTTACCAGTGGCAAATAAGTTGCTTGAACCCTCTGTGATACAAGGTGTGTCAGAAAAGTTAAGGCTTAAGAAACAAGTATTCAAGGCAAGATATGATAAATCAGCCAGAGATTTGCCAGAATTGAATATTGGGGAATGAGTCTGTATGAAACTGCTGCCTGGAGATGGAACAGGTCGCTGGAAAACAGGTATCTGTTTACAACAGGTAGCACTACACTCCTATCTAGTGGATCTTGATGGAACTCTATCGTCGCAATCGTATGGATCTGCATGTAGCTGAGTAGCCGGATTCTCCATATCCAGTGGACAGGCCTGACTCACCTGGTATTATCGGGCCACACTTAACCACTGACAATAGGGAATGCACAGTATTGATTCCACAGACCAATGTTAATGATAGTCCTGAGTGAGTCAGTATACCTGACAGCAGTCAAACACAATATCGCAGTAAATGGTCATTAGCGCCCAGCAACCTCAGCGAGGTCAGAGAAACTCTTAGTACAAAGAGGGCCAGTCTTTACCTGTAATGGCAGATGTTCACAACCACCCAACAGACTTAACTTATAGGAAGTGTTGCTAGTTTTCATTCAAAATTTCACTCTGTTGTTTGGTTAACATGAAAAGGGGAAGATGTTACGGGTGTTATGTTTGCCTTATACTCTATGATTCATCACTATTGTTCTTGTGATGCATTTCCTATTCCTGTTGTATTCTCTCTCTAATAAGATGGCTTCTGCAAAAGATGGCTTGTATTGTATTTACTTACTCCACTTGAAACAGTCTATGACTGATGTATAATATTTAATTCTGATCAGGTCTTGGGTTTCTGCCATTGATAATTTTAAGGGAGAAACTGGAAAAGATTAAATAAAGTATTTTCAAGTCAGATTGATATCCTGAGGATTTTAATAATATATTCACGCAGTTTACTTGCAAATAAATTGAGTGTGATTTGCCCATCTTCTGCTTTTTTTTTTTTTTTAAGTTTTTCAATCTAGCTTTGAGCCAGTGTTTGTATATTCCAAACTGGACTTTTCTTATTGCTGTCTGCAGTGGAAATGAAGTTATATGATAAAGGTCAATATATTTTAGCAACCATTTTCTCAACTTTTCTCCTTATTTCTAGAGCACTCTTAAAATGGCTGTGCAGGCTGGAAATTCAGGAAGTTATGGTTCCTACAGAGCTGCAGCACAAAAAGCTACAAAATGACTAATATAATTTCTTTAGGAACAATTACAAACTTTAATTTGCTGTATGTTTTAATAAATTAGAAAAACAAGTTCAGTTACATACATATTTTAAAATTAATGCTACTTGAATTATGGTAGGAATTAGAAAGCAGATTTCTTCAATTAGATTTTGAATTGATTTTGCGTGTGTATGTGTGTACACGTACTGCTTATTCTGGTATGGCACAAAGTGGCCCAGAGTCTGCCATTTCCTGATATTTTTCCACTTTGGAAAAAAAATGCTTGAAAATCTCTGCTTTATAAGATAAGTGTTGCAAGATTATTAAATGTACAAAAATTGAAAGATTCTGAAATACCCACAGAAAAGGAATAGCTGGTGTTAGCAAAGGTTGCAAAATTGACTAGAATTGATTAGAATTCACATTATAGAATAACAAAGTTGGAAGGACATTACTAGTCTTCTAGTCCAAACCCCTGTTCAAGCAGGAGATCCTATACTATTTCAGACAAATGGCTGTCCAGTCTTTTTTAAAAGCTCCAGAAGGCAAGCTGTTTCTTTGGTTTATTGTTCTCATTTTCAGGAAAGTTCTCTTTAGTTTTAGATTGGATCTCTGCTTCATATAAATCTTTATCCTTACTTCTTATCCTGCTCTCAGATGCTTTGGGGAATAAGTTGATCCTCTCTGTGATAGCCCCTCAAATATTGGAAGACTGCTATAATGTCACCCCCAATCTTTCTGTTTATTAGACTAGACTTGCCTAGTTCTTGCAACTATTCTTCATATGTTTTAATCTCCAGGCCCTTAATCATCTTTGTTGCTTTTCTCTGCATTTTTTCTAGAATCTCAACATCTTTTTTGTATCATGGTGCCAAAACTGCAGTATTCCAAGTGTGGTCTTTCCAAAGCAGTATAAAGCAGTACTAGCATCTCATATGACCTTGATTCTCTGTTAATCAACTTAGGACTGCATTGGCTTTTTTGACAGCTGTTGCACATTGCTGGCTCATATTTAAGTGGTTGTTCACTAGGACTCCTAGATCTCTCTCACAGTTAATGGTGTTGAGCCAAGTACCATGTATTATATACATTTGGCTTTCTTGCCTAAGTGTAAAACCTTATTTTTCTTACCAGTGAATTATATTTTGTTGACTAGAGACAGGTGTTTAATTCTGGACCTTAAGCTTATATTCTAAAGTGTTGGCTATTCTCCCCAGCTTGGTATCTTCTGCAAATTTGATGAGTTCTCCTTTTGTCTCCTTATTTGAAATATTTATGAAAATGTTGAAGAGCACTAGGCCTAAGACAGAACCTAACTACATTTAGTAGTAACTCCAAGCCAATAACTACACTTAATAATGACTAGAAACCCCTTTTAGGTTTTTGACTGAAAAAAAATGAAATATTTTATGGCTTTAATGATTAGAAAGAATAGACTATGGAAAGATGGAAATTATGTTGTAACTTTAGAGAAAGATGGTAAAACATAAATGTACTCATAACTGGTGTTAAGAAGACCAGAAACCATTTTCTTCTCCTCCTCTCCTCTCCTCCTCCCCTCCTCCTCCTCCCCTCCTCCTCCTCCTCTCCCCTCCTCCCTTCTATTTATTTCTTTTTACTTTTCCACTTACTTTCTTTACTTTCCTTACTTTTCTCTTTCAAATAGAGATTTGTTTTTATTCTTTTAAATTTTTCTTTAAATTTATACACCACACACATACACAAGGAGAAATTTCCTGACAGTGAGGACAATTAACCAGTGGAATAGCTTGCCCTCAGAAATCGTGGGCGCTCCATCACCAGAGATTTTTAAGAAGCTAGACAGTCACTTGTCTGAGATGTATAGGTCCTCTGCTTGAGCAGCGGGCTGGACCTGAAGACCTCCAAGGTCCCTTCCAGCTGTATTCTATTCTAAAATCTGTTGTGTCTACACATTAACCTATTTTGACTTTTCCATCCCATTTCTATATATCCTGTGTAGCCACGAGAAGTGTAATATAAAATGAGATAACATTCCCAAAGAAACTCAGGTATTTAAAAACTATAATTGACTTGTAGTATTCATTTCACTGCCTAAATCAGATCTGTTCGGATCCAAGATGAATCCCTTTTGATCTTACTATTGACTGGGTTAGGCTATTTATATGAGATATTAGCTCTCTATGATTAAGCTTGTTAGGCAAATGGCTCTTGGATACCATTCTAGGCATGCAAAACTGCTTATAATCTTTGCAGTTCTTGGGAAGTGAAAGTGCAAAACAATGGCTTACAAATACAGTGGGGATAATGCATTATAGCTAATCTTTAAAATATATATTTCTTAATAGACAAAAAGCAAAATAGCTAGCAAACTCAAGGAAACCAGGTTTTTGTGTGGGGCAGGCTTTCTAGATCTTAAAGTCTGTGGCTTCAGTGGGGGGCAGGGAATCTTAAGATCTGGCCAGTTTATTCATAATCCTATCGCTTGTTCTTAATTTCTTGTATTTTATCATTCTTAGGATATCGTCTTAATGATGGTTTTTGGCACTCAGTGTCCTTGATAGTACGAGAATCCTCAGCTGTTATCACTATTGATGATCAGAATGATGCCAGCTTCCGTGTTGACCGAGACATCCAGTTGCGTACTGGTAAACAGTACTTTTTCGGAGGTACATAGTAAATTGTTAACAGACTATGGGGAAAAAGGCTCAGATGAACTTCCTTAGACCTTTAGATCCTTTTGTCTGTGAGACTTGAAATTTTACACATCTGCTGAACATTGAAATGGGGAAGACTAATCTAAGATGTTTTACAATTTGCAGTAGCTTCTCTCTGTTTAAGAGTGGGTTTTGTAAATATAATGATTTCAAAGATAAGCATTAAAAAAATAATAAAACATATGCAAAGCTTGGGATGCACAGCTTTCCAGATATAGAGAACAACCTTGTTATGTATGCATGCCAATTTTGCACAATTTAGCATTTGGATTTTCAGAATCAATACTTCGTTTGATTTTAAATTAAAGCTTTAAATTGGAATTACTGGATGGTTAAGCCTGAAGGTACAGTATTTCAGTAACGTCAGGGTGATGGAAAGCAGATTCATGAACTGAATTGCATTGTTGAGTGATAAGAATAAACTATGCTGTTGTTTGTTCCTAGGAAAAAGCTTATCTTTTTAAAGAGTTACAAATAGATAAAGCTATATTTGCGCTCCCACATACTCTAAACCGCTCTTTCCCATTCAAGACAAAAGCATTGAACAACCCTAATGATTAATTGAAAATCATGGGGATGGGATTTCACTTCTGCAAAACATTATTTGGTTTCATTGTCTGGATCTGGTTTTATAGGAGAACCATAGTGTCCCCCCCCCCCGAGGTTCATTGGGACCTAATCCACTGAGATAAATATAATCTCTGTATCTCTTTCTTATGCATCACTTTCTTATGCATATGGCTGGACTGATGTTCCATAGGGTGCCCCAAGCCAGCACTACGAACTGGCTGCCTGTCCAATCAGACAGCTTTTCATGGCTGCATGCAAATGGTCAGCGTGGATCGTCAGCCGATAGAGTTAGACATGGTTCGTCAGCATCGGCTTGGCAAGTACTTTGAGGTGTACTTCAACGTGTGTGGCATCACAGACAGGTATGTTTGTGAGAAGCAAAATCTGGATAGGCACAATTGGGTCTTAAATGATGGTGCAAATGAGAGGTTCAAGAAGCTCTTCTAATTTGTGTGCATTAGTATGGCTAGAGAATGTTCTTATAGGATGTAGATCACTGTTGCTGATCTACAAGTTTCAATCTTGCCAATGCCAGCATAGGCTAGTATGTCAGGAACACGTAGATGTAATAATGACAAAACTCTATAAATAAAATTAGGAGCCTCTCTGTGCTGCTCTGAGTTAGGTGAAATAAAGGCAAGAGACAAATAAGTATCAGTTTTATAGAAGTCATAAAGAATTTCTTTATGTAGTACTTAGCTGCTCCCTGGAACTCCACGCCTAAGGTGGTAGGATAATAGTTGCTCTCAAGGCAGATAGTTACAGAGGCACTTGCATTGTCAAAACAGAATACTTTTGGATTGGATAATAGGTCATTAGCTTAGTTGTTAATGAGATAATATTTCAAAAAAGATTACTGTTAACAAGATTTCAAAACTTATATGGTAAGTGGATATAAGAGCAGTTGTCACTGAGACAAAAAACTTGCACAACCTGACGTCCTTTTGACACATGAGGTAAAGTGGACAGAGAGACTTGTTCAGCTAATCAAAAGCATGAAATACAAAGATCTTACATAGTTCAAACTAATAATAAAATGCTATGGAAAACAGATATATGAAAAGATAAAGTAATAACTGTCTTTTCCAGTAAGATGCCAAATTTGATAGTAAAGAAAGAACAAAAAAAAAGTTAATGATGCCATGATTGATCAAATAGAAATAATAAAGACCAGAATTTGTGTAATGTTTAATGTTAAATCTTCATGGGGAGAGAATGTTGAAAATCAGTAAAGTAGGGGCAATTTTAAGTTTGTAGCACAGCTGGACATTTTATAACATTTGAAAATTTTTGAAGAAGTGTCCTGCATATGGATTAGAAAAAAAGGAGCCACATTTCTAGATCTGTGCAGACAGAAGAGTTCCAGTGATAACTTGCTTTTTCTTTTGTCTCAGGTGTACCCCCAACATGTGTGAACATGGCAGTCGATGCATCCAATCCTGGGATGACTTCACTTGTATCTGTGACTTGACGGGTTATATGGGGGAGACCTGCCATACTCGTGAGCCTGTTGGGGCGAGTGAGGGAGGATTTAAAGGGCTTCTGAATGTGGATAGCTTTTTCACTTCCTCCTTTCTTTTTCAGCCGTTTACAAGGAAAGCTGTGAAGCTTATCGAATCAGGGGGAAAATGTCTGGGAACTACACCATTGATCCAGATGGCAGCGGACCCCTCAAACCTTTTACTGTTTATTGTGATATGAGAGGTACGGGTAATGGATGGGACATTGAAATGCTGTTTAGGGTACATATTTGTGCTCTAGAAACTTTTCTCCTAGAGACTTGGAGATTGGTTCTAATTAAATTTGGGAAAGTTATTCAACTGTCATCAGAAACATGAAAGAGAGAAGAGGCAGTTGTATCTGGTAGATGCTCAATTTTCAGGCAATCTCTAGATGTGTGGACATCAACTCCCAAATTTTTCATTAATGTCCGTTCTGTCTGGGAATTCTGGGATTTGAAGTAAACACATCTGGACATTTTTCAACTAGATGCAAGTGATCCTCAATTTGAACTGTTGCCTGTCCACTTGTACTTTCCAGAAGACCGTGCATGGACCATTGTTCGTCACAATCGTCACTGGCTCACAAAAGTAGCAGGTTACAGCCCAGAACGGCCTTTCCTGGGCACAGTTGACTACTGGAATGCATCATGGGGGGAAGTATCAGCCCTGGCAAATGCCTCTGAATACTGTGAGCAGCAAATTGAATTCCACTGTTACTTCTCTCGCTTACTCAATAGCCAGAGTGAGTATGTATGACATTCTTTCATTCTATGGATGGTATGGATTTGCACACAAGCCATGAGCCAAGAGCTGGGAATATATTTGGATTCCTTGCTGCCCTCCAAGCTTGGCTGTTTGTTTACTGGCATTTCATTGCTCAATTAGATAACATCATCAGTTCTAGTGATTGTGGTGTTTGCTCCCTTACTCCCTGGGGAGCTAGGAAACTCTCAAGGGGGAGCAAACCTAATGCTCAGTAGCACTGATGATGTTACCTAGTTGGTAACAAGCAAAAAAGCAAGGTCAGGGAGCACCAAAGATTCCCCCAGTTGAACATGGAGGTGCATATATTATCTCCTGTTGGAGTTAGGAATAAATATTGAGAATTGATTATAGCTCATTATTTTGGACAACTTACCTTGCTTTTGAGCTGAGAGAAAGGTGAGGAGCCATTCAAAGTATAATTTCATATATCTCCTAAGTCACAAAATTTGGCAGTGTGGATAAGAAAGGATAGGACTGGAAAGAGAACTTGGAATTCTGATGAATAGCTCAATGAAACATTAACACAGTATGAAGAGAAGAAAATGAAATATATTCCATGTTAGGAATTACTAAGAACGGGAATGAATGCAAAACGATGGGTATATTAATGTTTCATCTATTTTTAATCAGCTAAAAATTGTGTTTTAATGCCCTATCCAATTCTGTTTGCCCTATTGTAAACACCAATGACTAAAGCTGAAAGTTGTTGAAAAAACTCATTAAAAACTGGATTTTTCTCTACTAAAAAAACCCTTCCCATCCTCTAGATGTGCTAGGAATTCTGGGAGTGAAAGTCCCCATCATATCTGAACAGCTAGGCCTAAGTGTTGGAAGTTTTTAATTTAGGGGGGAAAGACAAATAAGGGAACATAATAAATGTGCAATGAAATCAATTGTGATATTGAGAAAAGCAATGTGAATTATGTGATTTACCAACTGAAGGAGCAGCATGTTTTTTCGCAACTAATTTGTGATCATCTTAAAAATATCTTGATGACTACTGTAGAATTAGGTGCACCTTTTGGTCTGATTCAGCAGGGGACTTTCCTCTCCAACTTATATTCTGCCTTGTTCTTTCTTAGCTGGGATGCCACTAAGTTTCTGGATGGGACGAAATGAAGAACGTCATTATTATTGGGGAGGCTCTCCTCCAGGCCTAGGGCGTTGTGCGTGTGGCATGGAGAAGAGCTGTGCCAATCCCCTTTTCTATTGCAATTGTGATGCTGAACACTTGATGTGGTGAGATTTGGTTCTATCTTCTCTCAAAGGGGTCTGGATGATGATATATTGTGAACTGAAACTAAGTATTTCTAATAAATGGGGTCCGTTTATCATTCCCATTCCAGGCGAGCAGATAAAGGGCTGCTGAATTTTGTAGACCATCTTCCAGTCACGCAGGTTGTAGTCAGCGATACAAACCGCACTGGATCAGAGGCTCAGTTCTATGTGGGTCCACTGCGTTGCTATGGAGACCGTGAGTAGTGGACAAAGTGGGAGATGATGTAATGGTCTTTTGCTGTGGATCTCTCAAACTGGGATAGGAATCTTCAAGTTTATAGGTTGTATACCATTTCCAGCCCCATTTTTGTAGCCCCCAGAATCCCTTAAGATTATGCTGATGAAATTCAGCAACAAATGTTCTAAAAAATGCAGTGATAGTTCCTATTGCTTTTTGATGGGAAACAATAGAAAAGTGTGTAAACCTTGTATTGTTTTTTTTTTAAAATTCCCCCGATCCCTTTAAAAGAAGAAAAATTGACAGTAACAGTAACATTATTATATTACAGCCCAAACCAAGGTATACAAACAACCACAAAAAAAATGTTTCTGCTCCATCCCTGCTCATAGTCATCCATGCCCTAATCATCTCCCGTCTTGACTATTGCAGCCGGATCTATGCAATATGGGGCTGCCCTTGAAAAATATCTGGAAGTTTCAATTAGTTCAAAATGCATAGTTTTATGCAGGCCTAAATGTGCACGTGTCAACTCTCCTGCAGGAGCTGCATTGTCTGCCAATTTGCTTCTGGGTCCAATTCAAAGAGCTGGTTGTTACCTTCAAAGCCCTAAATGCCTTGGGACCAAGTTATTTAAAGATTGTCTTTTCCCAGTCACATCTATCCGATCCACCAGAATGGGGAGGAAAGGAATATTATAGGTCCCCTCTTCTAAGGAGGTCCATCTAGTAGGATCAGGAAGGGCCTTCTCCATGGTGGCTTCTCCTGGTGGAACATCATCCATGAAGAGAAAAGATTGGTGCCCATTTTGACACTCTTTTTCAAGGCCCTGAAAATCTGGTTTTGCCAACAGGCCTGGGGACCTCAGGGTAGGATAGAGCCCATCATAAAGCTCTTCTAATTGTTATCACGAAGGCAGATGGGGGTGGGTGAGTATTGCTTTTTTATTTTTGTATTAGGCTTTTATCCTTGTAAGCCACCTGGAGTCACCGAGTGAGTTGAGCTGCCATATAAATTTTCATCCATCCATCCATCCATCTATCCATTGATTCATTCATACGTACATTCATACATTCATTCATTTATACATTCATAAATAATTGTCCCTTAACCTAAAATACCATGGAATGAAAATTTTCTCATTATATTTTTTTCATGATTTGCAGGCAACTCCTGGAATACAGTGTCCTTCATCAGGGGAACAGCTTTGCTTTTTCCTACCTTCAAGGTCAATTACAGTCTTGATATCAGTTTCTTCTTCAAGACTGCTGCACCAACAGGCACTTTTCTAGAGAATGTGGGCCCAAGGAACTATATCCGCATGGAGCTCAACAGTATGGAATTTAGGATCCAATGGGGCATACATTTTGCTTTTAACACAATGTAGCATCTTTTTTATTAGTTCATGGACTTAATTGACTAGGTCATTGAGATTGCAACTCCTAAGAGTCTTGCTGGCATATTTTTAATAGTGTTGCTAGTCATTAGCAGTTGGGCTGGCAATAAATCAAAGAGCAAGCCTTCTCCAACTTGTATTTAATATAAAGGCTGGTAAATCCGTCTCTAGCTGTTTTTTGCCTAAATGAGGGTTAATGACACTGATAATAAGGCCAATTGTTGAAATAAGAGATTTTTTGTAATGTTCTTAGTGGTGGGTTATGCAGTGAGAGAGATTAGGGATATAGGAACAATTCAATTCAATTTTATTACAGTCCTAAGATCTGCCTAAAAACTATGGGAACAAGGGGCAATGTGCTTATGGAGTGTTCTAAGACATTTGTCTGTAGACTTCTAAGATACTATTGAGAGATTTTTTTACTAATGACTTTGTTCAGCTAGTGAATGAAGCAGTGCCCTCCTCAATATACTGGCTTTCATGCATTGGCATAAATATCTAAGGAAGGAGAGATTTCTTTTTGAGCAGACTTGAAATGACTCTTCAATTCTCTCACTTCTCCATAGCTTCCCAAGACTTGGTCTTTGCTTATAACATTGGAAATGGGGATGAGAATTTAACAGTGCATTCAGAGATGCCCTTCAATGATAATGAGTGGCATGAAGTGAAAGCAGAGATCAACGTCAAAGTTGCTCGGCTACAAGTTGACCGGTTTCCTTGGGTGATCCGAGCAGCTCCGCCCCAGAGTTTTATCCATCTGAACCTCACTAAACCACTCTATGTAGGTGAGTAAGAATGTTCACGTGAGTATGTATGTGAGAGAAAAAATTTAAAGCGCCCTGTGAAATAGGTTAATTACATCAAAATAATAACTTGATAAAGGACTTTTTGATTAATAGAACATCACATTTCAGATTGTGAGTCCAGTTTCCTAAGAGACAGTATCTATTATTCAGTAAATGAATTATATGTAATTATATAAATCAGTGGGTGATGGAACAAATAATTTGAATGTAAAGTTCTCTTGCATAAGCTACACTAGCTCTCAGTTTTCCTTTGGGTGCAATTCAAATAGCTGATTATCATCTTTAAAGCTCTACATAGCATGGAATCAGGTTATTTGCAGGACTGCCTCTCTTTATGAATATTTGCTGTCTCACTAGAATGGATAGAGTAGGCCTATCCATTTTTCCATCTAGTGAAGTAGTCCCCAACCTTTCCAGCTTTGCTGACTGTGGGGGGAGGGAGGGGAGGGTTCCATGCCAGCAGCTGGTGTGCGCGCTCAAACAAATGGAATGCAAGCACACGTGCCCATCGCTTATGTGCCCAGTTCTGAACAGGCTGTGGTCCGGGAGTTGGGGACCCCTGATATAGTGGAACCTTGGGAGCTGCCTTTTCTGTTGCTACCCCTTGGTTATGGAACAGCCTTTCACAGGTGATCTGGAAGTCCCACTTCCTTTAGTCTTCTGGAAGAATATCAGGACCTGGCTTTTTATCTAGGCACTGGGATAGAGTGGATAGATCTCCTTTGTTAAGAGATCTCAAAGGAATGACTGGGGCACCAGGTTTTTGTTTTACAGTTTATAATTTTATGTTTTTTTAAAATAGTTCTGGGGTTTAGTTGTTGTGAACCACTCAAAGTTGTGTTTTAAGACAGGTGATAATACAAATATTTTAACTAATTGATTACATAAAATACATATTCTTTGGTCATCTGACTAAAAAGACTGAAAGAACTGGCTCACATTAAAGCAGTAGAGCAGAGGCCCCCAACCTTTTGGGCACCAGGGACCGGTTCTCTGGAGAAAGAGTTTTCCATGGACCAGAGGGGGCGTGGTTTCGTGTACTGCCTGCATCCAGAAGATAAGGCTTCACTTGTTTGCACAGCCTGGTTGCTGGTATGCCGCGGCCCGGTGCCAGTACACGGACCGGGGGTTGGGGACCCATGCAGTAGAGGGCAGAAGAACCAAGACTATGGATTATGAGGAACTAAAACAGGCTAGACAGTATGTAGATAATTAAGTGTTCTTTTCCCCCCACCCATAGATCATAGTACCAAAACAATGAGCAAAAGAGATATGTCGAGCACGCTGCAGCATAGCTTGACAATCGCTATTTTTAACTCACGTTTTAACAAAGCCCAAATCCTCGGAAAGCAATATAAAACTGAACACAACCTATTATTGTACTATTGTCCCTAAACTAAACTATGATCCCATGAGCTAAACTAAAGCGCATGGATCTTCTTTGCAGAAGATAATTAGCATCTAAGCCTATAATGGTTTAGGCCTGTTATGTAACTTGTTTAAAAAGAGAATTGTTCTGTTTCCCATTAGAAAAATATAACTGGATCATTAATTTACCTTAGTTTTGCTTATGGTAGTGATAGGAACTTTTAGGCCTTGTGGCGAGCAGAGCCAATAATATTCAGAAATGCACATGCAGAGCTTGATGCAAAGCAAGACCTACTGGGTGCAGAATTTTGAATCTTCGAATTTCCTTTCATTGTGCGAACAGTGTCGATTTCAAGTCTTTTTACTTTTTAAAAATCTTCTAATTTGTCCTGGGTGTTTCTATTACAATAGTATATTTAGGGCAAGAGTTAATTCATTTTGTTCTGCTTATTAGTGTTTAAACATAAGTGAATCAGAAATTGTGTCTGTAAATCAGACACAAAAACCCCTTTCAACGGTTGGTCCACATCCACCTTTTATCAACTGAATAACAGGTGCTTAACAGGATTTTGGACAGGAGCATTTTCTTAATTTGGGAAAGGTGGAAAATTTTAAAAGCAAACCAAATGTCCTATCATTGTTCCTAGAATGGGAGTCACTCAGGTAAGGAGAAATACAAAAACATATTCTTCAATAGTGTATGAAGTCTGGTGAGAGCTAATGGATTTTTTTTTATTGAAAAGTTTTATAAAAGTTACAATATAAACCCCAAAACCAACCAACCCTAACCCCCCCTCTCCCTCCCCCGCTTCCCAGAGCTGAATACAGGGTTACAAATATAATAATCATAATCTAACTAACATTAACCAACTATATAAATAACCAAGTCCATAATGTGCTTTAACTCTCCTTTAACATAAATATAATAATAATAATTAAAACATAAACAAATTAGTATCCTAATTATTAAACAATAGAATATCCATATTGGTAAACAATACTAATACTAAAAGTAATAATAATATCATATAATTAAAACTAATAAAAATTTCACTATAATAAATTATTAATACTAATAATACTCTAAAAATTACTCATAAGCTAAATGGAACTTTTTAGTCCCATATTTATTCTGAATATAATCTATCCATCTTCTCCAAACCGAAATGTATCTTTCTTGTGAGTGATCCTTCAAATAGGCAGAAATCTTAGCCATTTCTGCTAAATTTGACACTTTAAGCGTCCATTCTTCTATAGTAGGCAAGCAATCCTTCTTCCAATATTGCCCT